GGCACTGGCGAATGTTTTTTCCCTTCCTTCAGGGCTGCATCGCACAAGCTTAAAAATTCCCGAGCTTTTATTGACTTTGTGCAAAGGTTTTTAGATAAAATTCTGCACTATAATTGATAGAAGTGGAATGATAGCTGAGAAAATTCCCCAAAAAGCCTAATTTTGACGATAACTTTGACACAATAGTACAACGAATATCTATGTTATAAAGAACGACTCAGCCTTTGTAGCAGTTCTAGCTCTATTGTCCGATGATGGGATATGCTTCCTGGGCTTAGAAACAGTAGAACGGCGAAGGATAGAGTTCGATAGATCCAAAATTTTGCAGGAGTCAACCTAATCCGGTTGTAAACTTCTGAAGGGTACTGTATTTGTCGGTCGAGGTTAATTCCTAGTCCTGACAGGCTGTAGAGTCTTCTAATAGCCCTGAGCTCGAAGAAATTTTAAATCTCTTGGAGGTCGTAAAAATAGAGGTCGATTTCGAAGCGCGTACTCACCATTTATTTATTCAGTACATCTAGATTATAGGAACGGCATACGTTGCCGTCAACATTTACCCAAGCACAGAAAAACAAATGGGAAATATCGACGAGCTTAGCACTTAGTTTGTTTGCGAAACAACAAAAACGTACGCACGCAAGAACAGAAAGGAATTTAACGCGGAGGGACCGCAGCCTATCAGCAAGCCAGTTAATATATTTGGAATAAATGACAGAAACCCTTAAAGCTCAACTAAAACGGTACGGGAAGGCACAAGAGGTGCTGAACACGCTAAACTTGTTGGTAAGCAAGAAGGAGTAAAAGTATTGCTGAGGTATGAATGGTTATGCAGTTTTTACCGGAGCTAACTTGAGTGCACATAAACGGTCTATTGAAACCCGGGGAGCCGTGCATTTTTAGCCGTATCTGCTAGATAGGAGTTTGACAGTTTGCGTTGAACTTTAACATGTGATGATCCATTGTTATTCTAACGGCATACCGAACAGTATGTAAGGCATATATTGGTCTCATTTAAACAGCGTTCAGCGCACTTTTGGGCAATTATAAGGCAGAGGTCGGCGTTAAAGAGCAGGAGACGCCGGCCGAAAAAAAGGAGCAGGACGCCTTTCTCAACAGTCTCGTGAAGAGTCCCATAATCATGGAAGTGCACAAATATCTGGTTTCTATCCGCCTCGCTCCACGTACCCCAAGGAATTTCAGAGAACTTCTCAGGAAATTGTGGTTTACACTATAAAGGCGTAGCAGGTAAGAGTTTTTCTGTGAATGCAATTCGTGTTGCAAAGAACAGAAGAAACAGAGCTTCAGGAGCCTGAAGTCTCGGACCCATACTGGAAACCATCGTCAGAGGCAGTCACAGACAAGGATAGTAGGAAAGCATAAGGTGTGCAGGGCGGGGTTGTCCGGCCGCCGCAAGACTACTATATTTAGCAGTACTCGAATGCACCGCTTGGGGGTCGCAGAAGTGATGCGATGATTGCTCGTCAGTCCGCATCCGAATCACTGCTTGCCATGAGTGCATCATTCTTGTCAGTGCGTTGTCTACCATCACCTTAAACTTATCCTTGCGTGAATCCCCGCGTTTGCTTTAAGCTTACTGAAGAAGACATATTCCAAACCGAAGGTTTAATTGTCATGTTTGAAAAATGGCACATCTCCAAAATGAAGAAACACCATGGCAAACTAAAGGTGTGGGCCAACTTAGTTTTCCATCGGGTCAAAGAAGGCGGAAACTAACTATTTTCTTTACTTGTTTTTGCCGAAAGCATTGATAGATTTAAAAGATGACTTGCTAACATTTTACTTGACACCGCCGATTTATATGGTCTAAGTAGATGGTTCTAAAACATACGTACGATTTGCCAGGATCTATATGATAACAGGATTTTCAAAGTCTCCACCTATCTCCCTTGTATACACTGAATTATACTAAACTGTATCGGTTGAGCTGTGTGTTCGCGTCAATTTTTGGGTACTTTGAATAAAGATTGTAAGGTTCAAATGGATGTAGACACTGCAATGAGATATAGCTACATTGATGATATAGAGCTTAGTAAACCGTAATGAAAGTAATGCGTTGAGAAACGTCACGCATGCTTCTGCAGAATTAACCATAGCAGGGTAAAATACTATCAACCATTTTGTCATTGTTTATTTAAAATTGCATTTAAACGATGTAGGTGACTGGAAAGAACGAAGATACAAAGCACAATGTATTACCGAACGCTGTCTTGCTGAAAATTGAGTTTTTCATGCGCAATTTTTTCATCTCACAGACCAAACGACTCCTCAGCATTTGAGCACGTTTTTGTGGGCGAGATAAGGAAAGGCAAGGTCTCTGGTTTCCACAACTGGGTTATGTTCTGTGAGCAAGAGGCCAAGGGAGAGATTGACTATCATGGCTTCTATCGTGCGGTAAATCAATATTTATAACAACTCTCGCTTACTTCTACAAAACTATTCTCTAAACAGTAGATGATCAAATCTTCCCCAGATCTCCAAAAATAAGGGGACCTAGTTTGTTTTTACGATAATTCCGTTTCATGTAGACAGTTTTGACTAGTCCAAGCAACCACTCAGAGAGGGACCAATCAGATCCTAGGGGAGTACCGTTGCCGCAGCCAATGAATGGCGATGTCTGCGACTATTATCAATAATTTGAGTCAAGTATTTCTCATGAGTAAAACTTCCGCTTGGTTCGTTGAAATAAAATTCCTTTTACTGATTCCCAGGTATAAAGTACAGGACCACGCCTACCTAAATATAATTTGACGCTATAAATTTGGAAAATCAACCAGTGGCGTCTAAATATCATACCTTTTCATCTAACAACGGCTAGAAAATACAAATTCAAGTAGATAAAATAATGATTGTTTAAATGGCCTTTGACATAATCCTGTGCATACCCTGGTGTGGTTCTTTTTCTGGGTTTCAGTCCA